AAAAGCTCTAGCTGAATTTGTCATTTCTGAGGAAGGAATTGATCTGCCAATCGCTATAATAAGGCCGTCAATCGTGGGTGCTTCATGGAAAGAACCGTTTCCAGTATGTACAAACTAAAACTGTTTATCTTTGTGATAATTTTAATCAATTTTAAGGGTTGGACTGATAATTACAATGGTCCATCTGGACTTATTATTGCGGTATGTTTGGACAAGCTAGAAAAAGCTGGTAGCGAATGTAATTTCGATGTTTAGTTGGGCAAAGGAATGTTGCGTACAATGTTAGGCAATAGTAATGCAAGAGCGGATATTATACCAGTGGACATCGTCGTCAATATGATGATATCTGTTGCGTGGTATACAGCAGTTAAACGGTAGGTTGGTACTTAGACGTTTTGAGGTAGCAGCAACGAGAGAATCCCTTGTGCATCCCAAGCACGAAAAAGAATCATGAAGCGGGCGCTGCATCTAGATTAAAAGGTACATTTATCTAGCTTCAGCTAACTGCACAGAAATACATGAAAATTTTATCTAGCTTCAGCTAGACTGAAGCTAGTTTCAATTGGGTACAACTGGTTGCTATCGATTAATCGGGCAATTCATTGCTGGATTAATTGACCCATGCAACGGCCGTTTTAGCTAGTGCACAATTTCAACCAGCATGCAGCTAGATAAATGTACCTTTTAATCTAGTTAATCTAGCTGTAAGTGGGCGCTGCAGCTACTTCTGCAGCTAGATTTTCTCGCTTACTTCGTTTTGCTTGGGAAGTTTAGTCCAAAGAATACTATCGTTTATCATTGCTGTGCAAACAATCGGAGCGTGTCATGGGGCCAAGTAGGTATGTTACCTCACAAATAATTCCTTCTGGTACACTAAATGATGGTTTCTATTTTGCTAGTTAACTATAGTCTAGAACATTTTAATTCAATACCACTTGAAAATAGTATAACTTATCCCGGTTTAACATTTACAAACAATAAGTAATGCACTGATATTCAATGATAAACTAGATCGCTGTGTCACAATGCATTACCTTTAGATTTAACTATTTTTCTCGTCGAATGATTGAAGAGATATTACCAGCATTCATTCTTGATATTTATGTTCGTTTAACTGGACGAAAACCAATGTAAC